GAGTGCACATGTTCAATACTACGTGTCAGATTGTATACACAGACATTTATTATATGTTATCAGAGAGTGCACATGTTCAATACTACGTGTCAGATTGTATACACAGACATTTATTAGACAATGGGTCAATGTGGCAATGATAATGCATTAATCTCCTACCACATGTTAAGAGTGTAGTGATGTATACACAGACATTATTTAGACAGTGTGTCCATCTTCCGCCACATGTCAGCATGTGGTAAGAACATCTGAAGGATTTAACAATACATTTGAAACAACACCAGTAAATCAGGACTGTATGTTCTCATCAATAATTTTCAACCTATACAGATATATAGAACAGACACTGGTATCCAAGTAAAAACACTGGTATCCAAGTAAAAACACTGGTATCTAAGTAAAATGAGACAAACCAATCATTTCGTAAGTACAACTTTCATGAAAATGCTGCCCTAAAAACTGAAATCATTCATTTTCAACCGGAAGTTACCTCTGCAAACACAAGTAACTGAAACAATGCTCACATATAGAGTACTATTATTTCTTAGATAAGCTGCTGTATATACTGTCAAGTTAAAATATTATATATGAGTGGAAGTCAATAAGTAAAGACAAATGCATTAGCACGTTTTTTCTTTTACAAGTGGCCGGAACAATATTGTTCTGTCCTATTTCTTGACAGTCTACCTGCCTTGAAACACAGGTAGTTCACCGATACACATGAATGTAGATGCCCGCAAGGTAGAAGCTTTTGGGTGTGGCCACTAACCAAGTTAACACCACTGACATCACCTCACTGTCATCTGCAAATCTATGACCTTGCAAAAGTTTGATTGTCTCTTACTTTCTGGTTCATAATGATTCACCCAGGACTCATTGCCTGTCAGAATTCAATGGATAAAAGCATCTTCTTCACAAGCTTGGGGTTCAAATGCTACTGACAAAGTATCTGCCTAGTATCCCTCTGTTCTTCGGAAAGCTGTCTTGGAACCCATTTGCTACACACTTTTCTATACCCACCATCGTCATGAACAATTTTGGATGCAGCACCATGACTCATGTGGAAATCTACAGCAATTTTATCAATAGTGACTTGTCTGTTGTTGTGGATTTGTTGCATTATCTGCTGTTCCACTGTCTCAGTTGCCACACTAACAGGTCTCCCTCTTCACTTATCACACACGTTACCCCTTCCATTTTTAAATCTTTCCACCCATTCATACACTTTCCTCTGATACAAACAACTGCCTTCATTCTTTGACAGACTTCAGATGGTTTAACATCCTTTGCTTACCACCCACGCCCAAAAAAAAAATGTTAAATGTGAATAATACTTTGTTGCTCTTCCACGGTGCATGTTAACAGTGCTGCAGCCATCTTGTATGAGCTGTTACGCATACTGATAAATTGTTACATGTACTCTGGGTATTGCAAAAGGGCCATTCTGTGTCCTGAAATAAATTTTCTTCTGCATACTGTTCCTTGCAGACTAGGACACAATTGCCTTTACTTAATGACTTACCCTCGTATATTACTATAATATTACTCTTATAACAACTGTTTGTGGCTTAGGTGTTGTGAACGAGCTTCGTAATGCCAGGTTCAATCCTAGCTGCAGAAAATTTGTCTTGTGTTGGTTTGACAGTAGTACCGAGAATTGACCATGCAGAAGGCAATGGCAAACTACTGAAAGTATACTTTGCCTAGAAAAACCACAACAGCCAAAAATTGCTGGGGTTGGTTCTGCAATGTCATGTAAAGGATATGCAACTAACTTTATAATAACTGTAGACCTGAACTCATGGCCAAGTTAAACTCTTATAGTGATAATAATATTTCACTTATAAAAACATTAGATTTAAACATACTGTCAGTTTAAATTTGTTACATAATATTTTCTTTTATAACAAACATACTGTCAGTTTAAATTTGTTACATAATATTTTCTTTATAACAACATTAGATCTGAACAAGCTGTCCCTTAAAGTACTACAGTGATTATAATATTTCACTCATAAAAACAAACAGTAGATCTAAAGGTATCTTATTTCCTTATAACAAACTGTATATTATTTAGCTGCAGCAAAAAAATGAAAACCAATTAAATTATACAAAACACAGAAATGAAAGTGATGTGTTCTCAATCACAAAAACCTGATTAGAATACAAATGAATGCAGTTAAATCTTAGCTAATGTAGAATGCAAGTTAATGTATGTTTTCTAAATAATATTTATTACCTGAGACCTTTTCAGAAAAAAAAATAAAAAATAAAAATGCTTGCCCTTAAATCTTTTAGTACCAGAGGATTTTGCTGCATTCAGTATATATTACTTTCAAACAGGCATATACTGTGCCAGATTTCTTTAGTAAGTTTAGACCAAAAGTATATTGTATGTTAATATACAATGCAATTCTTGATAAAATGGGTCAGTAGCTAATCCCACATGGTGCGTTCTTTGGGACAGAAAGTGTTACGCCGTGTAAGACATACTGTATTATTGTTTTTTTCAGTGGACCAAATGGTAGTCTGTGAGTGATGTGGTTAATATCAAGCCAACTGTATTTACTACATTTAACTCTTTGCACCAGCCTATAATTACTTTAACTACTTATGTCATGAGATATTCCAGCTTAAAGTAACCAGTGTACAAGTTCTTGAGAAATTAAAATAAAAAAAACACAGGGCAGCACAGGGAGTAAAACTAATGATTCAGACCACTGAGTTAATATAACAACTGTCTACAATAAAAGAGGAGCCAGAAATGTCTTTAGACTAACAAATCAATGCATAACACGTCAGATGGGATTGCAAGAGTTAAGGCTGGATCAATCTGGTGGCCCAGGCCTCTTTTTTTTTTAATTTTAGAAATCTGCATTGATGGGGTATCAAACCTAACTGCATTTTAATTTCTAAAATTAAACAACTTAGAATGAGCACCAGCAGTTGACATAATAGTGGTTACATTTCAAGTCTGACTCCAATCTTATAAAAACATAAAAGAAAATCTCAGGTAGTATTGGCGGTGTTGACAAACAGTAATATTATTTAAATACATTTTCTGAGAAGATATAACTTATTCCTCTCAACTGAATGAATGACTCACTGATTCTCCCTCTCTGGGTTGCTACCCAACTTTTAATAATCTATTTAAAAACTGTCACCATTGTCTGTTTTACCGCTTTTTAGGGCGGTGCAGACAGGGGGGCCTTGAGCCTGAGAATTTAGGGCCACCTGGCTAGGGCTGTCGCCATAGACTGTGCAGGCTAGGACGTTTAATTTTCCCCCTCGACAGAAAAACTCCAGCATCTTCCCAGGGGTCGAACTTGGGTCTCCCATTTGAGAGCCTGACTCTGTAACCACTCGACCAACCGCTCCTCAACCACAGTATCCCACAGTAACCTAATGAGCAGCAGCCTGGATGGCAATCCAACAAAGAAAAATCTAGAAAATCCATACAACTTTTTTTCTTCGTCTTCAGCATTCCAAGCCCTTGAGGTCAATGCTGCAGATATTGCCATCCTTTATTTATCTCTGTAATTGGCCTTATCGTTCAAGTTGATGACTTAAAGTGTTGGTAGGTCTACCTGAATTTTATTTCTACACAATCTTTAACTTTCCTAATTAGGGCTCCCTGGCGGCTATACCAAACACTACTCTGGTATACCGCAGTGGAAGTCAAGCATAGAGTAGAACACCTATGCCACCTTCAAGGCCAAGATAGAAGACTATAACCAACTTCTCATGGGAACAATTAGTAGAAGTACCTTGGAGTGGCTGCTGCATCGGAGGACTGAGCACACATGGGAATGCCCAATGTGCAGTGACAGTGATTGTGATAACATAACATAATGTAACATAAAATAACATAACTGTAGTGTTCTGTCAGGGCAAGGCATCTACTCTTGACTTATTTCCTATCAAACAACTCACCATACGTTTACCTGGCACCAAAAAATGATGAGCTTGTGCTCCAGCATGTAAACTGCACACTGTTAAAAGAAAAGCAATGTGCTCTGTTCAAACCTTCATATTAGACAGTGCTGTATGGCACACAGGGAGATCTGGTCTCCTTTCATCAAGGCTATCAGCCTCCTGAAATAATTTTCTGACAGAAGGATCAAAGAAGACCATATATTTGTTGGGTTATACCTGAATTATAATTTTTTCTAAACATACAATGCATCTAGTTGTTACACAAAGCCACTCTGCATCAACTGTTACTTTAACTCTTTCCCTATCACAGTGTTACTTTTACTGATTCTAACTCAAGCTTTAATTAGTTAAAGTAAAAATTATTTGGCAAGTTAAAAAAAAAAAAATAATATTTACCTGGCACCAAAGAAATATTTCAAAATTTGTATAGGAGGTATTAATAGTTTTGATTCGAATTATTTTTAAATTTATGAAAATAAGCAGTATCTTAAATTGTATGAACTACATAAGCATGCCTATTTGATTAAGATTTTTAAAACTAAAGACAAATAAATTCTGATCTGATACATACATATGATCAAAATATGTAATATTGGGTTATTCAGTCCATAGACTGCTATGTTTCTGAAAAAAAGTTACTCTCCTTTTCCAGATATGTTAACTGCTCATAAAGCTAGCCTTTGGAAGATACAAGAGTAGTTTTCTCTTATCATCTTCTTCTTCTTTACATCCTCTTTTACTGCTTCAGGTGTCAAGGGAGATATAAGGTCCTGCTTTGTGCTTTTCTGGCTGCTTCGACCACAGACACATCGTGGTACTGTATAGTTTCTCTGATATTATCCTTCCATATTGTTCTTGGTCTAAATCTTGCTATACGTCCCTCTCCTCTTTTGGTATATGCCTTGAATGTTATAGCATCAGAAGGCATTCTCTCCAAGCGGGCAAACCATTTGATTTGCTGTCTTTCTATTGTTGCCTTACCATCACAGTCAAAATATATAAAATTACATATGTTCATAAGTGAGTAATATGAGCAAAAGGAGAGGTAAATTTGTTGCATGAGTCTACTTGAGGTTGAGAACTTCCAACATCAGAGGCTCCACATCTACAGGGTTCACCTGCAGCAGAACCTTGGCATGCTCCTCGCTAAGAACCTTGAGGTCACACAGCCTATCCATGGCACTGACGTAGTATTCCTTGGCAAACTCAAATGAGAAACAAGATTCAAAATAATGCTTCAGAAGAACTATATATCTATCTTGAAGGGATGAGACAAACTCTCTGTCACATATATGCATGCCTGCTGGATCAAAGATAATCAGCACCTGAAACAGTATTTTTAAAATAAAATATTTTTATTAGTAAAAGTAAAGTAAAGAGTTAATTCTACACTGTGAAGAATAATTGTCCTATTCTTCCTGACTATACACTTCCATGGAAAGCTCTGGTTGCTCGTTCACTTCTGGATTCTGGACGCTTGTTTTGGAACTTGAGTTTAACATGCACATCCATTTATAGATATGGTTTATTTGTATGCAGATGGTTCTTCATCTCTCAGGAAAACGCATACCAACTTAGAAGTTTACACTGCACAAAATTAGTCGGAGAAAATCTCATCATCAGTTTTATCAACTGACGACAGATTTGGAGTTTAAAAAAAAAATATATTTAAAAATATCAGAAATTCCTCAAAGTGTTAATAAATGGACGTCTGTGGTGTAGGCGTTGCAAATTCACTTCATATTTCCAGAGTGCCAGGTTCAATTACAGCTGATGGTAATTTGGTAGCAGACAGCCTTTTGTTGGATTTGACAGTGGTATTAAGAGCCGACCATTCAGAGAGCACTGACAAACTAATGAATGTAAGATTACCTAGTGAAATCACAAGCAGCACCCCCCCCACCCATCCTCAATGCTTGGACTGGTTCTGTAAACATCCTGTAAAGCATCTGCAACTAACTTTTTAGAAGGTTCATTGCAGAAAACATTTTACCACAAGAATTAATCTTTTAAGAGAGTATGACATTTTTTATTTGAAATTATAATCAGACACAATATTTTGTTTTAATGTGTGCATCTCCACAATGGAGGTTGACTGTTGTATATTCACTGCTTTCTCTTGGAGTTTTGTGTAGTGTGGTCCGCAGCTCATCACTGTCTGGAAGCCAGGAAAATGATCTTTTTCTAAACTTTCCATTGTGGGAATTAAACCCTCCACCTCAAGGATTATGAAACACAATCACTAACCCCTAAGACACAAAGCCACTTTCACATACCTATGATACACAAGGAAATGAATACCCAGATTAGAAACAGACAGAAAGGAACCAGGTTGTTGTTCCTAGTTATATGTTGGACATATTTGGAGGCAGGAAGTTGCAAACATAACAAGTGATTACTGGGAAGATGAGACAGATATCAACACCACTGGAAACAGACAGATAAGGTATGACAAAATTACTTGCACTACATCATATGTGAATGACAAGACACAGTTGTACGTACCTGCAGAAGAGCATATATATGATAGTCATTCTGAGCCATGGACTTGACTCGTCGGCAATAGTAGACATGATCATTGTGTAATGAAACAAATCCAGTTGTGTTCTTCAGGATACTTGTTGGAATTTCCCCTTTTGGAGTCAGCCAGGCATCTTTTTCAATGCTGTAGAACAATGCTGACCTTAGCAACAAGGTGTTCATTACACAAGCTTTGAGAGCAGCAATTTGGTCCTCCTGGCTGAGCTGTCTGAAGTCATCTAAATGCTTGACAAACATAATCAACTTTCTGACACAAACCTCTGAGTGGTTGACGAGGTCTGCTGCTTTCTGGTACTGTTTGGGTTCAGAGTAAGGTCCCATCTCAGGCATGGCAGCTAATGTTTCTTGGTACGCTTTTGTGACATTTGCCAAGAGGGTACTTTCATCACAGGTAAGCTTGTAAAACATGCGGGAATCGGAGGGAAGTAAATGGTTTGGAATATGTCTGAAGATGACATTTGAAGGTCTATTATGAGCTTTTCCATATGGGGTAGGAGGCCTCTCCACTTCAGTAATAGTTGTATGGCTGACAGGCAACTTAATAACTGAATCATTTACATCTATCTCAAATTTTACTTCTGATTTTATTTGTACCGCTGGTGTCTCTGTCACGATGGTGTGCTCTTTCTTTGTCCGGTTGGCCACGACTTTAGTCATTCGTTTTTTTCTTTCACCATCATCTAAACACAAATTTCAACCAAAATTGTAAATAAAAGAATAAGGCCATTATAAAATAAATTTAAACATTTAATGATAAAAACTGATCATACTTGAATTGTTTAAATATTCGTTTCCATAAACATAACTAAAAAGAATAGAAACAATAAGGGTATTAAACATATGTGTGTTAAAGACAGGTGGCTTTAGGGAAGATTCCACACCGATTTAACTGTCAGGGCAGTGGCAACCAAATAATTCAATGAACAACAAGTCCTTCTACACTAAAAGTATCCATTACCTCCTCAAGCAGTGGGATGCATGTCTGAATGCCTGTAGTGACTTCTGTTGACCATAGGTGCCTGCTTGCTTTTTAACAGTTACAGTATATAATAACGTCATGTCTGCAAATACACCTTGCATATGTTTCTGACAAAGACAATGGGTTTTATTTGATCGTACATTGTTTCAAACACATCAAAGCCTTCTAAATCATTCAAAAATCAAGTTAAATTATGAATCTGTTCTCCAGGTGTGGATTTTGGGACTCAACTGGTGGTGGGAGGGGGGGGGGGTGGGGGAACAAGCCTACTAACAAGCATGTCGCAATGGTGACTTATTAGCAGTCTGCTGAAATCGGATCAGAATGGGGCAAATACTGCAGCCTAGCCTTAAACCACAGAAGAAAGTGGCAACCATCCTTTTAAGGGTGAACAAAAGAGAATAAGAATTAATCAGCTGCATTCATGTGTAGCATTTCTATAATTCGAACAGCAATAAAATAAACTTTATTTCAATTGTCGTTTCTCGCTAAAAACACCGGAATAATTTTTAAGCGTCTTATAAAAGTATCTTTCTCAGTGCTAAGGATCTGGCGTTGTGTGAGAAAAGTTGTTGAATTTTCAACCTTTTTCAGATGGCACCCCACTGAATATAGGGTAAGATCCCACCCCCCCCCCCTCCCCCAACTTTAAAAAAAAATGTGATGAAAAAGAGGAAGACAAAAAGAAAAATCTCAAATTCTATTAAAAAGAATTTACAGAAAAATATCCACATAATCAAAGTGTCAAAAAAATAACGTCCTTGGCTTTTTGTTTAACAAATAATTTACAAAAATATTTTATTACTAACTAAACTGAAAAAACAATTTGGTGTAACACATTTATTACATTACAAGTACAAATGCAGTCGATTTCAAAACTACTTGATGCCCCTTCCCCCATCAATTATAAGATAAAATATGCATAGAAAAGAAAACATTAATAAACATTACCTAGAATCATATCTCTGTTCATTCCAATTTTGTAGCACTTTTTAATACGACAGGCCGGACAAAATCGCCTTGTTCTAATATTGACCACACAATTGTTGTCAAAAAGGCACACCATTGACTGGAATAATTCAACAAGAAAACAAGTTTACCAAAAAAAAATTTTTTTATTTTCTTGGTCATTTTATATTTATGATGCGGCAAGGTTTATGTGACACCTTGTTAAAAGAAGCAAAATTTGTGAACATGGTTCCTGCAGTTTCAGGTTTGTTCCCCTTATGTTTTGGTCAAGCAAATCCAGACAGCGTACATGTAGTTATGGCAAAAATTAAGATGGCACAGTTGTATTTTCCCTTTGGTTGAGAAATCTGCCTTGTGCTCTAAAGGTCAGTGGTTTGTTTCATGGACTGCATTGTTTGGTTTACAAATGAAATTTTTAGAGATCCCTGGAGACTGTCACTTGAGCTAAAGGATTTTGTGCTGCACTTTGGACAGGCTGTTAGTCATTTTTTTCAGTGAACGAACGAACGAACAAACTTTATTTTTAAAGGGTTAAGAATTGGGCACGCAGGCCAGTCTTACATTCTGCCCTTCGAGGTCTCCCTCCATTCTTTCATCATTTCATTCACACATCAAGAAATAAAACATTATTGAGACCATATAAGATAAAACCTGGGACAATGAATGGCTCCTCTCAACTTTAAACCTCTATCTACCCTTTATACACTAGACTAGAGGAAGAGCGAAACTTTTAAATAACATTATTTGTCACCACATTTCCAGTGTGGATTCTGGGGCCCCATGTTGGGGAAGGGGAGGGATAAACCAACTGCTCCCTACTGCTTACATGTTGTAAAAGTCAACTAATTAGCGTTGTTTCATTAGAAGGAGTGCACCTGCAGAATAGGTGAGTAACCAACAGTCTGCATACAAATAAGCCATATCTGTAAAACAGATATGCAAGATCTGTAAAACACATGTGCAAACAAAACTCAAGTTATACAATAAGACCAAAGTCTTATCTTTAATTAATTTGCAATTAAGTGGGCTATTATTTTTATTATTTTTCTTTTTTTCTAATAGCCCACTTATTTTTCTTCAAAATGATAATTCATTCAATAACAAATTAATAAAACCGTAGTTTCATTTGTGTATAAATCTACTTGGTAACAATAATGAGCACCGACAGGCCATGGCTGGCCTCCCCAAAATGGGAATTCCTGTTGAGCTGTACAGCCTTATCTGGAGCTGGCTGTGGTGAAGACCAAGCAGAAGAGGAAAAAGATCAGTCCCCAAATAACAACAAATGTAGTCCATATTATAGCAGAAGAAGAGGAAGATTTGTCCCCAAATAACAACAAATGTAGTCCATATTATAGCAGAAGAAGAGGAAGATTTGTCCCCAAATAACAACAAATGTAGTCCATATTATAGCAGAAGAAGAGGAAGATTTGTCCCCAAATAACAACAAATGTAGTCCATATTATAGCAGAAGAAGAGGATGAATTGTCCCCAAATAACAACAAATGTAGTCCATATTATAGCAGAAGAAGAGGAAGATTTGTCCCCAAATAACAACAAATGTAGTCCATATTATAGCAGAAGAAGAGGAAGATTTGTCCCCAAATAACAACAAAGGTAGCCCATATTTTAGCAGAAGAGGAAGAAGATATATCCCCAACTTACAGCAAAGGTAGCCCATATTTTAGCAGAAGAGGAAAAAGATATATCCCCAACTTACAGCAAAAGTAAACCATATTATAGCAGAAAAACAGAAAGAAGATTTAGCCCATATTATAGCAGAAGAAGAAGAGGAAGAAGCATCCCTAAATTACAGCAAAGGTAGACCATATTGAAGAAGAAGAGGAAGAAAACATGTCCCCAAATAACAGCAAAGGCAGCCAATATTTTAGCAGAAGAGGAAAAAGATGTGTTCCCAAATAGCTGCAAAGGAACATACATAATGACAAATTCCGCACTGCACTGATTATAAGAAAAAAAGTGCTGTGAATTTCAAATCATCTAAACATATTATCTATTAAAGCACAAACAACATATTTACTTACCTTATCTTTTAAAGCATTTCTTCTAAAAAACGCTTTGCAAGATTCACAGGTAACTGCATTGAAATTATATCCTAAGGCCTTATCCCCACACACTCCACAAGATTTGTCATCTTTACACTTCAGCTTTCGGCGGGAACATGACATCAAACCATCAGAGTCTTCAGCTGAAGTGCTGGGCTGCTCAATCTGGTCAAAGTGGTTATTTGTTGTGCTTGATAAGGCAGTCATTTCATCTTCAGAGAAGCCTCCCGATGACACCTAAGCGGTTAGGAATCAGAAGATTAATTACAAAAACTCGACTAAATCAATTCACTGAATTATTTTATAAACAAAACTGCATGCAGTGGTGCAGTGAGTGATCTGAATGCTGAAATGGTTGCTTCAAAAGTGCTTACAGTACCTAACCACGAATAAAACGGAAATGGTGTAATCAATACCCAACAACCTGTTACCAAATGACAGTAATCAATGAAATAAGAATTGTGTATAGAATATAAATCATCCAGATTAAAAGCTTTACATGATTTTATTTTTCAAAACCTTAAACAAGTAACAGGTGTTTGGTACAACTAACTTTCTTGGAAAAGAAATAACACGTGAAGGCAAATGCTCTGTAGAGATCAGAACAACAGTTACAATGACAAAAAAACCAAAAAAAAACTTGTGCATGGTGGTCTACATGGTGAAGTGGTTAAGCCATTCGCCTCACACTTTAAAGGTCATAGGTTCACTTTACAAACGTGTCATTCAGTTCAAAAGTACAGCTTTTATAGATTCCTAGGGATAATCATGGGAGCTAAAGAGTTCTTGCTCTGCGTGACACTCTTGGCAGGTGGCTAGCCATTCTGTAGTGAGAGACTGAGCCATATCAGATACAACACAGATGCAATGAAGTTGAGACTCTGGACTTTATAGCTCTGAGTAACCTTTGCAAGAAGGATAACATATTCAGCAATATAATGCTACCAACTGCTGTAAAAGTGTTAAAGTGCTACAGAGGACCTGTACTTTTGTATGCATGTGAAAAATGGATAAAAAGTAGGCAAGATGAGAATCATCTAACTGCAAATAAAATGTTGTTCCTGGGAGAAAAGTTGAGAAAACATTAACAGATAAAAAAAAAAACTAGGCAGTCCTTCAAGAAACATTAACGCTGAACAGGTTAGAGAAATTAAACGGTAACCATTTTAAAATATTTTATGAACAGAAGCAACAAATGGTTTAAAAGAAACAAAAAAATGTAAATACTGCTTGTATTTACCACTTGTGCACTGTAGGCAAGGGAGATCTTGAAGTGTAAGGAGTTAGTGCAGGGGCCAAGGACACTGCAGGTTAATAGTTTAATTGTGTCCACAGTAGAAAAAAACCCCTAATGAGCATTCAAAACAGCTCAGCATTCTCAACCATTCGGCCAGCCACTCCTTAACTACTAGCTGTGGCTCTAAAATCCAATACAGTATGTGCTACTTTTGACATTTATTGTACAATTTATAATTGTTTTGTAGTAAACTTTGCAACTTTCCTCATGCATTCCAATGTGTATAACTCGTGTGTGATGCAGAGTACGGAACTATACAAGTTTTCTATCTCTGGATATAGAAGTTTAGCCTGAGTTAATTGGCCAACTGTTAAAGTAATAAAGTTTCTATTTGGCAAGCATTTAAATGACACAGAAAATATTAGTCTAAACACATTGATTGAAAACATATACCAAGTGCTTTACGATTGAACCACTTGCTTGCTATATGATCATTCAAGACGAGATAATCAATCCCTACGGATCTATGAGTTAAGTTTAATGTTAAGCCGACCAACATGAAGATGGACCCAGGATACAACTGATCCTTGAATATGAAAGTACACAAGGTGGGAGAGCTGGTGAGAGACCACGTTTGTTTCAGGCAGACCGTGATGTTCTGCAAAGGACCTGCTATTTGATGCTGATGACTTATTTCTCACCTCAGTCCAGTAAATCCTTTTTTTTCTTCTTAATTTACAAAATCAGAGTTAACTAGTGAGCAAGTTTAGAAAAGGGATAAAGTATTGCATCCATTTTAATGTCTTGAGGCTTATTATGCATACAGTGCTTTTTCTTCCACCATTCACACCCTGAGTATAAGCCCGCAACCAGCAAAGCTTTCCTACCCTTTGGCATTTCATCCATGTGTCCTCTTTATGGTATTCACCTATTTCCAATTCTGATCTTCATCTGTGTGTGTTTTGATCTAAGCAGGGTTTTTCTTTAAAAAGGTGCCGGTACTCACAAGATGTTTAAAAAGAAGGCCCGGTACACACCACAAAGTGTCTATGGCACAACTTCAAACAGCGACCTTAAGGGACACAATCTACTGTAACCTAATAATACTTTAAATGCCCACCCTACGGAATGTAATCCATTATTTGTGTAAGTCCACATAATAATATTATTTAATATTTATTACTGTTTAAAATTAGAGTTAAGGTTAGAGACAGGGCTATAACCCTAACCTAAACCTGAAGCCACATTAAATGTTACAGAACATTATAATGTGAATGTACACAAACAATAAATTGTATACCTTATGCCAAAAACAAACAAAAAACAGACTGTGTCCCTTAGGGTCGCCATTCAAAGCAGTGCTGTGTTTATTAGAATAGTGCTTTAAAAAAAAAAAAGATGCCTGAAAAAAGGTGAACTTGTCTACCATCATAACAAATTTCAAGGTCATAGTCGCTTCTTTGGCCTTTTGAGTTCCAGTGTTATGACAATATTCATAATAAAATTTAAAATATTGACCAATTTACCATTAAAATGGGTGATGTGTTTAATATCATGTCGATGATCATTTTGGCTCTCCTCCGAACTTTGTCCCCATATTATGGCGGCCAAACAAATACCCTAACAGGGCCTGAGTCGTGTGTAAAACGCGGACTTCCTCTGACGAACACATCGCGGCAAAACTAAAATTACTGTCCGTTGACAATTTCGAGAAACGCAACAATACACACGAAAATAGCGATATGGCGGGGAGACCACGCGCTTCAATGCAGGTTAGCAATAGTGTTTTTCTGATTAAACTCACCGCCGAGCGTATCCCCTGTGCTGCTCGCGCGGCGTAGATGGGGGGCTAAACTAGATGGCTGGGACTCAAGAGCAGCAGCTATCACATCTCCTGCAACTTCCTCCAATTTATCTGCTCGTGAGTCCCGCGCGGAGCAGCGTAGGAATACTGTCGGCGGTGCAGCATAGTCGCAGAAACAGGTCCGCAGTTAACATATTGCTGAGATCCTGTTAGAGTATTGGTTTGCCCTCGATAATATTGGCCCGTTATTCAGAGGCGATCCTAGTTTTGTTCCTCGGCAGGCACTCCGCATTTTACACATGACTGAGGCCCTGTTAGGGTATTTGTTTGGCCATCATAATAGCTTATAAGGGGATGAAATTCGTAGGAGAGCCTCATTTTTATTGCCCCAAAACGTTTGTTTATGTCATTTAAGGCTTGGTCGAAATATAATGTCTGTTAAAATCCTCCTAGACTGGGATTTGAAAGCAGACACCAGACTAAATGGCAAGGGTAATTTTTGGTAAATATATATATGCTGTTTGGTTTCCCTTTGAAGTGAAGTAGTGAAGTATAGGTGACACTGCAGTAACGATGACGGTCGTTAAGTAAACAGGTTAAAGGGGCTTACTGCCTTGAGTGTAACATTCAATTCTAAATCAGACGGCTTGCCCGGATCCAGGTTTTTTTCACTCGTGTTCATTATTCTGAAGTCCTGTTTATCAGTTAGTTCAGGAAGTCAAAACGAGAATGCCGATTTCAGAAGTTTATATCTTCTGCATAACATAACACTTTTATTTTTAAATAGTGATGATGCTGTAAAAGAATAATTTACTACAGTCAGAATACATGTCACACATAATCAATAATCCTTTTGACACGGAAAGAAAAATGAAGGAAATTACCACAAGATCTAAGCCCTGTGCCATTTCCTCAACACCGGAAGTTGACATCGGCCACTCCTGAATACGGTCCTGCTGTCAAGAAAAAATGACTGTGAACATTGATGAAAGTTATCTACAGGCCTGTACAGTGAGTAAATTGTAAGTAAAATTTACCCCACTAGGACATCACACAGTGCGATTAACACCCGGTGACACAAAAAAAGTGCAACCATGCGGATGAAGATCACCCGTGGAGAGGTCCCAGAAACAGCGTTCAACCGTTAGGTTATATTATATAGTTATATAAATTAATGAATAAAATAATAATTACGACCCCCAGCAAAAGCCAGGGTGGGGCTTCGAAATAACGAAAAAATTACATCCCACGTAGAAGTAATATTAATAGTAGATTTTTATAACACAAGGGATACACACCAGATGACACAAAGTGCTACCATGTGGATGAGGATCACCCGTGGAGAGGTCCTAGAAACCGCGTTCAGCCATTAGACCATATTTATGGCTGGGCTATACGCTATATTGCGGCCCCTGGCAAGAGCCAGAGTAGGGCTTCAAATAACGAAAAATTGCATCTCACAAGGAGATGACTGGATTAGTGAAACATCCCACATAGGACAACGTTGGCTTGTATACTCGTTTGTTTAATTTTGATGAATGCTGTTGGATTGCTACATATTAAAACTCCTGGCTCTACTGGCAAATTTGGTAAGCTGGACTGCTTCGACCGTAGGACGATGATAGACACCCTAAGCAACCCTACACGCACCCGGATGATGATAGGTAAGTATGTCATTTGATTCCTGACTTTTTCCGCGACTTGTTTTGAGTTTGGCGAAGGGACATAACTCCCACTAAGCCCCGCTAAGCCGACCGAAGCAGTCCAGCTTACCGGCCAAATTTGCCAGTAGAGCCAAACTCCTTCAGTAGTTTACCAACAAATTCTGTTCAGATTTTTGGTATACGAGCCGCCGTTGTGTAGCGGCTAGACTCTACTAGGGAAGGTCTCAACTCGGACCCTAAACCTAACCTGAAGCAATAATAAATATTACAGAACATTATCATGTGAACCTACACGAAGGAATGGAATGTGTTCCTTATTGTCCAATAAACAAACAACTGATTGCATCCCCTAGGGTCACCCTTCGAAAGAGTGAGCCTTTACTTTTTTACAGTCTGAGCTTTTTAGTGAAAAGGGCGACGGGCTGAAGAGGGAAAAACATGGCTAGGTTGGGCAGAAGATTAGGCAAATATGCAGCCTAACCGACATCACCCCTGGTGCAGAGTGGATACCTGTGCTTCATGCGTATATTTGTACATTTTCATGTATTGCCACACTCAACAGGAGATGTAGAAAAGAGAATCCTGTTGCTGTTAATGCAGAGGTCAACGCTCTCATCAGTGAAAATTCAGATGAAACAGATGCACTAATCTACACAGACGGATCTGTTATACGCCATAAAAGAAGCGCATGGGCGTTCACAGCACGCTCAGCCGCATGACGATGGAGGTGATGGCAGTGACGCAATCGTTCGCCTGGCTCAAAACACAAAAATACACCCGCGTGTGTATACTCACTGATTCAATGCGTATGATCCAGAGGGTTCAGTGCGAAGATAATGGCTTGAATCATTACAGAAGTCCACTGTGCGTGGAGTCACCTTTATTTTTGTTCCAGGAAACGCAGGCGTCGATGGGAATGAAAGAGCTGACAGGTTGGCTGGATCCGCTATCACTACGACGGTCAGCCTATGGATCATGCTAATATTATTAATGCCCCCAGAGAAATGGGAAGCATAGAGGACTTTAGGGGCGGTGAATCCACATCACTCACCAAAATAGCAGACTTGGGAATTAAGATCAGCATAGCTAAAAAATGAAACGCACACCAGAAGACTTGTTTATCAACATAGAACTGGTACTATTAGCCATGGGACGTTGGGGTTCATACTGAGGGGAGGATCTGAGCACTTATGGACATGTCTGGAGTGCAATAATGATAAACTAACTAACTAAGTAAAATGGAATAAGTTGAGTGTAAAAAACAAAAAAATAAGATAAAAACAAAACTAATGTTTATTATTAATATTTAATTGGAATTTGATAAGTACTATTTTAAATTAATTGTAATTAGTTACTAGAACAGTTCCAAACCCTATATTATTACTTTAATTTGCTGTGAATTTTGACAAATATATGTATATGGGCTGTCCTCCTAATAACAGTCCTTAACTCGTTGAGCTTGAAAAGAAAGGGATGACCATCAGTGTCTCCAAAACTAAAACCATGGTGATCTCAAGAGAGGAGAAGAAACACCAGATCATGATGGGACAGTATGCGTTGGAGCAGGTTAACCAGTTCAAATACCTTGGAGTTGTATTAGACCAAAATGGAGGCATTAGGACTGAGCTGGCTACACGAAAAGCAGCTGCTGGGAGACTCTTCCAGGCCATAAACCGAGGGTTTCTTAGCAAAAGAGAAATTGGCAAGAGGACGAAAATGGCTGTTTACCGCTCTACCTATGTACCAGTCCTGACCTATGGGTGTGAGTCATGGGCAATGACAACAGCTCACAGAAGCCAGCTGCAGGCCTCGGAAATGAGATACCTGAGAAAGGTGGTCCAAGTGACAAGAAGGGACAAAGTCCGCAATCAGACAATACGTCAAGATCTTGATACCCAGCCCTTAGTAACCCGAGTAGATCAGTCACAGTTACGATGGTTTGGACATGTATGCAGAATGGGAGAAAATCGGCCACCATGGCAAGCATGGGAGGCTAAGAACCAGGGAACCAGACCTCTGGGACGACCCAGGGTGCGCTGGGAAGACAACATCCGACAGTCCCTAACTGACAGAGGACTGGAATGGAACAAAGCCAGAAAGAAAACTGCTGATAGAGACGTCTGGCGATCTCTCTGGCAAACCTCTACACCCCAAGGTAGAAGAGGAGCGACTAAGTAAGTAGAACTCGTTGAGTCCCAGGGAACACATCATATGTTCATAGGTTCCTACGTAGAAGCCCAATGAACGCATGATACGTCGATTTTACTCTCTCTTTACTACCTATTGGGCCTGTGATGCCAAACCCCCTGGGACTCAACAAGTTAATTATCGAGGCTAAGAAAATACCATAACAGGGCCTCAGTGGTGTGTAAAATTAGGAGAGGCTGTCTGCAAATTGTGCGACTAGTCCCACGTTTATAACATTGCACCAGTTTCAGTTGCATACATGACCCTTTTAATTGTCAGTGCCGATGGACTGTTGTGACAGATTCTAGTGGCCGTGTCATAATTGTAATACTTGCTGCCCTATTCCTAACCCAAACCCTATACCTGGGACCCAGGAGAGAAGCTAAACCTAGGACCCAGGGGAGAAGTTAAACCTAAGACCCAGGAGAGAAACTTAACCTAGGACCCAGGGGAGAAGTTAAACCTAGGACCCAGGGGAGAAGTTAAACCTAGGACCCGGGGGAAAAGGTAAACCTAGGAGCCAGTGTCAGAGCTAATGGTCTACCTGCCATGGCAGGTAATAATTTTGTGATAATGTGTATTTGCTGGAAAGGAGTCCACAATTTACATATGACTGAGGCCCTGTTAGGGTATTTTCTAGGCCTCAATAATTTAGGACTGTTTTTCGGAGGAGAGCCCTGGGGGTTGAACTGGAAAACTATTATTTATGTAAAACTAGCACTACAAACACTCATACACAAAAAGACAGAATGCATTGATTTTACTGACCCTAAATATTAATTTAAAAAAGCATCACACTTGGATGTTGACATAAAAAAATTGTTGATAACCTAATTGGTTGGAAGTGATAGTATTGGAATAAAGGTTCCTACTTTAGAATGTGATTTTAATGTATCATAATTTTATTTGATTATTTATGTATGGTTGTTTCTTTACTTGTGCTTTTTTATTTTTAGATATGGAAGTTGAAATATCTCATTGAACATGAAACAGGAACACTCACCATCACCAACCCCTGAAAGAGCTGTGTATGGTTTTGTGCTTTACCTGGCATCTTTTGTTGGGTTTGGTATGTAAAATAATAATTATATTGATGATAGCACTGATAGATAGGAAAGTGGCAAAGTGGTTAATCCATTTGCCTCTCAGTCTGAAGGTTGTGGGTTGAGTTTTGGATTTACTTCTCCAGAGGTTTCAGAGATCTTTAAGATGATGGCTGGAGCAGGATGCAAAGATGCTGAGCCACACGTGGTGGTGCACCAGGACTCATACTGGTCAAGATCTGCCTTCATTTCTTCATGGTTATCCTGGAGGCAGGTTCTTATTTTGACCAGCATAAATAGGATTGACATGTCTTTGGAGTCAGAAAGCATCTGCCTGAGATGCAGTGAACCAACAGTATGTACACAGATAAGCCAGTTCTGGAAAACAGATGTGCACACAATATCCAAGTCCTAAAACAAGGCCAACATCCAGAAGTTGGTGAAAAACCAGGACTGTTCAACAGAGTTTACACCTGATGAATGCTAAAACAAAGAAGAAGAAGACTGCTGGAGCTAACAAGGTGATGGTTTATGTCATGCTTTCTGTCATGAAGTGATTTTGAAAATCCCTCTGATTTGCCTGCTAGGAAGTAGGACCACCTTAATAAAGGTGGGAATTTTATTTGAAAGAACATTAATTTGTCATGATTATAGAAACAGTTTTGTCATGCTCTTCTTCTGGTGTTTTCTGTGTCCCAAGGGCTTGTGAACCATAGTGCACTGACACTGCATTAGATTTGTGGCCCTGGTTATAGTTCATGATTATTATATGTTGTTTCAGTATGATCAATAAATGTTGAAATATCCACTTCATTCTTATTTTTTTCTTATACTTTTTCGTCTCACCCTGTGGATTCTGGGGCCCTATAATAGGGGAAACAAGAATAGACCCACTACCTATCCAAAAGCATGTCATAAGAATCAACTTATTGGCAGCTTCTTTCAAAGTCGGAGTGCATATGCCTGAGAGGCAAGGAACCAGCAGTCCACATACAAATGAGATATCTGTAAAACAGATGCACATGCAGCACTCATGTTCTGGAACAGGACTGCAGTAAAAAAGTTGATGAACAGCCGAAACTTTCCGCCAGAGTTTTCAACTGGTTAAATCAAAGAAGAAGAAGAAAAAGGTTCTTCATCTTTTACTGTGAAACACAGGTGGGGGCTATATAAATTTTGGGAGAGTAGTCTTCACCTAGATATTTCCAGGTGTCCACATTTTTCTATTTCAGTGGGTGCCACTTACCATCTAGTTCCCATTGCAGGAATTGCTGTCTGCTTATATAATACGTCAGAATCTATGGCTTTGGCGTTGCGAACGTGCTTCATAATGCCGGGTTTGATCCCAGCTGCGGACGATTTCTCTTGTGTTGGTTTTGACAGTGGTTCAGAGTTGACCGTTCAGAAAGCAGTGGCAGACTACTGAATGTAAAATTTGCTTAGAAAAACCGCAGCTGCCAAAAAATACTGGGGTTGTTTCAGCAACGTCCTGTAAAGGATACACAGTTAACTATATAATATTGTCCTGAGACAAAACCCTTAGATAAAATTATAGTCGAGCCATTTCTGTAGTATTTTGGCAATTCTGAGTTAAGGAGTGATTGCTTCCTTATTAGTCTATCCCTCTCCTATAAAGACCAACTGTCTTTTATGAAATTTTTTAATGAATGGCCAGAAGATTTACGAAAGAGACCAGCTAAATGAAACAAAACCAGAAAACTTTAGTGCGATTAATAAAGATTTCGAACCATATTTTCTCCTAAATATATCATTTAGAGCTGACTCTTATTCCACTGTAGAAAACTTTTGTTGCTTTATTTAATTATAGTCAGTGATTCTCATTTTAAGAAAAATGAAAACACACCCAAAAAAAATAACTTTGTATTATGCTGAACTGGTATGTATGTGTTAATTTGGGCAACCATGTAGGCATAGTGGCCAGACACTCGACTGCTGGCCTGAAGGTCTTGTGGTTAAATTTTATCAAATCAGATTTGTTTAAAAAAAATTATCTTGGCTCACAGGTCGATCTAGCCTAAAATTGGTAGCAGGTAAAGTCTTGTAAAGTCAGTCAGCGTGATGAAGACCACATAACCCATCATATACCTCCACAAATATCTCCTTCTTCTTCTTCCTGTTCACTGGCTGTAAACTCCGGCGGACAGTTCTGGTTGTTCATCCACCTCTGGACATTAGTCTTGTTCCAAAAGCTGAGTGTTGCATGCATATCTATTTTACAGATCTGACTTACTTGAATGGAGGTTGTTTGTTCCTTGCCTCTCAGGCAGATGCACTCTGACATCGAAGGAAGCTCCAGTTAGATGACTCTTACGACATGTTTGTTGGGAAGGTCTATTCTTGTTTTCCCCACAATGGCGTCCCAGGACCTACATGTGGTAGGTCCACACAAATATGAGCTGGCATGAAAAAAAGTCTTTTTTTAACTTTAATATATGTGTTAATCATCACTTAGCATGCCCTTTACATAATGTCGCTCTTATCGCGGCACATTTGAAAGTGCCTCTTCCTCTAGCATATTCTTCAGCCCTATGTACTTTCATAATAGCCAGTGCATTTTCAGTGTCTTGTATTCACGTTCAAGGAAGGTCAGCCTGGGCCTCATTTTCTGGCAGCTATACCCTCCATCACCGTTCTCTCCAGACCACCATGATGTTTAATATGGTCAAAGTACCTCAGCTTTGAGGAAAGTTTATGAGCCAATTCTCCTCGATGTTCAGATCGTGAAGGATGTCCATGTTTTTCTATTTTCTTGGTCCATGTTAGCAGAGCTTTTTATTATTAAATCAATTTGTTGTAAATTTTATTTCAGGACTGTACATTGTGTGGGCCTATGTTCCAGAGTCTTGGTTACATTCTGTTGGTTTAACGTACTGGCCGCAAAAGTAAGTTACAGCAGTTTATATGAATTATTCTCTTTTATGATTATCTGCATATGCAGTATTTGATAAATAGAGGCACCCCTCAGTTCCTAAATAAATTGTGAAACAATTTATATCGCATTCAAGTTGAAGAAAATGCATACAAAATACAAAGTCATCACGTTAAAAGACAGTTATGCCCGGCTCTCTAGCGTAGTTGGCTAAACCGGATTGTGCAGAGACCGGGTGACGAACTCCTTATGGTCCCAGGGGTAGGCAGGAAAGCCACATTTTCTCCCAGATTTACAGTAATTACAATGGAATTAAGGCCGAAAGGTTGCGATATCCATAATACTGAGCCTAAGGGTTAACAACTCATGGCTTTTGGATACTAAAATAAACAAACAAACAAAGACATTATCACAACCAGTGTATTGAATTTGTAATTAAGCAGACATTAGTTTGAAAAAAAAATATGGTATAAAGATTTCTAAGCGTTATTTTTAATAACAGCTATAGCTTACTATGAAAGATTTCAAGAAAAATGAACCGGTGCAATAAATATGTTCCCATAAACTGGCAGCATAAACAAATAAATTGTTTCTGTTATCATTTCAAGTTATTTTTTGTCTTTCTTCCAACAGGTATTGGGCGGTTGCTTTGCCTGTTTACTTCTGTGTAGTCATTGTTTTGGGTTTCATGGTATATGCAGGAATTGTCCTGTTAAATATGCCATCCCTTTCAGATGCCAGGATAATAACAGGTATTCCTTGACATTTCTGCACTATATTAGTTCATTCTGTTTGAAGAAAATAAAGATTGTATTTCATAGAACGCCATCACTTTCAGATGCCAGGATAATAACAGGTATTCTTTAACATTTCCATACTATATTAGTTTATTTTGTTTGAAGAAAATAAAGATTGTGTTCCATAGAACGCCATCCCTTTAGATGCCAGGATAATGACAGGTATTCCTTGACACTGCAGCACTGTATTAATCCATTCTGGTTGAAGAAAGTAAAGATTGGATTATTCCATAGAACCCAGGAAGGCTAGTAAGTAAAAATGAAAAGTGAAGGACCCTTTTCACACCAGTGGCATACTGGATATATGATGATATATTCATATTATTATAGACCAGTTGGCACTCAGAGTGTGATGTGGTCAACATCATGTCTGCCACATTTACTTCCCAGGACTTCGCCTGTTGCCCATTTCAGGCATGGTCAACTTGCAAGCCAAAGTCATTTTTTGGAGAGAAAAAAATATGACTTGCTGCTGAGTCGAACCCAAGATCTTTGGGGCCACTAGAAGGCTAGCCTGGTCAACAACCTCACGATGTTGGATGTCAGTCAAAAGATGCAAGTATCACAGCTATGTTGTAAACACATAATGCAACTACAGCCTTGGATGAAAGAAGTAGAAATATTCCATATAATGAACAAATAAGCTTTGGTATTGAAAGCATAATGTGGCAGATGCATTTATTTACATATCTCATCAGGAAGTACATCAATACTTTTAGCTGTAGTTTATCATATTTTTGAAACATTTTTTCTTGTTATCGTTTTTTTTTAAATATGGATAAATTCAGGTTAAATTTTAATGCCTTTTGTCCTAGCTGTTTGATTGATGCCAGCAGTTTGTAGTAGCTATGTTGAAAGGAACTATATAACATTTTGAATGTACTGAAGTACTGGGTGGTGTATGATAAAATATTCACTCTGAGTTAGGCATGTCAAACCATACAGCCCTTTGCAAGTACACTTGCAATACACACAAAGGAATTATTTTAAAATTGCTTTTCTCTATGGCTTTAATTAGTTGTCATGTGCAGTCCTCATGACAATGCAAATATGACCCTTTGGGGACCTTCAGTTTGACATGCCTGCTCTGTATTACAAAGAAACATTATACCAGCATACATTTTTTTAAGGTTTTACTCAATGCATTTCATTTTTTAAAAATAATTTCCAATAAAACTGTTTTTCAAGTTTTAAAAAAAATCTGATGTATTCACAAATTTCAGATCACTATGCTGTATATGAAGGGCCAGCCACCTCTGATCCTAATGCTATACCACCACTGAGGGACTTACATATATCTAGTGTCAACAGAATGCTTTATTTGAATGATGCTCACACATCCTGATGTTTGTGTTTGTCTATAAAGATACCAACAGTCGGTAGTTGAGGTTCAACTTCACTGCAGATGAGTCACCCCACAGTTGCTCTGTTCAAATGCCAGTGAAAATCACACAAAAGCCCTTTCACTGTCCCATTTGAAAACTGGTGAATAAACTGAAACTATTAGTCCTGGAAAAATCCAGAAATATGCACACAGATATAAGTGCATCAGGTAACCGCTTGAAGTGCCAACACAAACCTTCCCACACTAGGATTGCAATGTATCGTCAGTTATAAAGGGCTGGTCATAAACATGCATTACTACTTCACAAGGCAATTCACAGCTGCCTGCACTTTATGAAAATCACAACACAGTGCCAACATCGGTCAGTTTGTCATAAGTATGGCTTTTGTGCTATTAACAGAAATCTGTTGTATATGAAACTGCAGATATTTAAATAAATATAAATAATAAAAATGTTTTTAGAAGTTTGGTTTATAGCTCTTATTATTTGCAAAAATATAAAATATTCAATCTTTGCCACATTATTTCTGCATCAGGTTAATGTGATATGTTAGCCAGGGTTACATCATACATGCTTCCGTACAAAAATGTTACAGGCAGTTTATCATATAGAAATGACAAAAATTCTGCTGAAACCACAGAAAACAGAAGTACATGAGTAAGAATAAACAAGAAATGTTCTTCTGATATCCTTGGAAACAAATAAATGATATATATTGTTCTTCATTTTTTTTTTTTTTTTTCTGGCTGAAAATTCTGGTTGATTGTTGATTTGGATTTGTGTCAGGATCTGAGTTTTGCCTGTACATAAGTTTTACCAGCTTTTTTGTGTACATTATGCTGTTCTTTGAGAGTTCTGCCTGCTTTTTAATGGACACAATTCAGATGATAGCATACATCTTTGCCTGTCACTATATTTATGTTGAAATTGTAATAAATTATTTTTTTAAACTGTTGTTTGCTTGTTTGTTTCTTCTTGTAATGTGCCTGTAAATTTTATTTTTGAGCATTGAAACATTTTAATAATTGTATCGTGTTCCACATAAAATCAAAATGACATTAGTAAATAAGTTGGTACCATACTAGTATAAGACTTCAAAGAAAAAAAGCAACCAAATATGATTAACAGTACACTGCACCAAAGAAAACACTATCACTATCATCATCATTATCAAGTACTTCTTAATGATATTTGCAATCATGCATCAATGTATCTTGCAATCTCCAAATGCATTTATCAGTTCCTGTTATCAGCTCATGTGTGAATACCTTTCCATGCCATCCTATATTTTTCTTGTTTGGCAATTTCAAACAACAAACTTTCTTATGCAAACATACGTGCTCGCGCACACACACACACACACACACACAGCTTAGTTGCTATTCATCTGCAAGTTAATTGTCGGATAACACAATAACTTTCACAGAATAAGATACCCAGTACCTGCATTTAAAGATTTAGGGAAACCCTGACTGGTAAAATGTATATAACTAGAAATCAGTTCTAATGAGAGATGAATATAACAATGTACTTGCCCTGACTTTAGATAGATTGTGCATGTTCAGTTTTCTTTTATCTGTAAAAGTTAAATCCACAAGCAAATAGGAGCCATAGAAGGGCTTATCTGTTGTATAAAAAGGATGGAACACACATCCCTTTTTTCTAAAATTCTACTGTGTTTCGACCTCCAGTGCATAAGGCTTCAGTCTAATCTATTGCAAAACCCTTTCCTTTGTAGATCTATTCAATAGTGGTTATATATTGCACATAGTTTTCTCAGGTATGAGGTCACCAATTACACACTGATTCCCCTTAGCTGCATGGTTGTTGACACCTTTTTGTCTTTCTAGACGATAGAGTAATATTGTGATGTGAGGAATGTTGAATTAAGAATCAACATCACAGCACTCAGGACACTTCCAAAAGTGCTTTGTCTCCATCTTCAGCAGCAATGGAAGAGTTCTAATCTCAGTGGTACCAGTAACTGTCTGGTTGTGTATCCGCCTCGCTTTACCATTGAATGTTGAGCATTGGCCAGATCCCCTGGTAATTCTAAGCAGCGCCACTCTCCTCAGACCGTAATGATCTATCTGTGCCTCTGCACTGTTCACTCGCTAACAAAGGGCCCTCACAACATGTAGCTTGTCATACATCAGTTCACCACTAAATTGTGCAGAACCGGCCAATCTATCTGCTAGCTCATCTTTCAACACACCGGTATAACCTGGAGAAAATATCCAAAGGATGCTAACTACCTGGGACCTCTGAAGTGATGCCACTCCACATTGCACATGCATGTCTTCGGCCTTCCTTAGCATGCTCTGTGAGTCAGTTACAATCATGGTATGTGTGTACAGCTGATTCTAAAGCCAGCAGAAGGCAGCAGTGACTGCCTCCACTTCCATTCTCAAACTAGATGTTATTGTGCTATCAGGAGGTTTGGGAATTACAGCCTATGGCAATGGCAAGAGTGACTAGCAAGACCTGCCCGTGTTAAGAAAAGTCTGCCCTAGTAAGAGCGTGGGATTTCAGGGTTGTTGTTGCGTGCTTCTTCCCAGAAGCTCTGTTCTCAACATTTATACAGTCATTTTCTCTGTTATTCCCATTCCATTCCTGATTATCCCCCTATATGCAACACAGTCCCTGGCATTATGTTCCCACGAATCTACTTGAATACCTGTATCAGCCATGTCCCGCTTGCACACATCTTTATATCGTAGTAGAGGCCAATCGCAATATCTTCTACACATGCTTGGTATACAAAATATACTGGTAGATTAGTTATACTTCTCACTGCTTCCCTCATGGGCAGTGAGAACACATCGACTTCTCAGTGATACCAGAATTGTAAAGCGGATTACCATGGCAAATCTGTAAAAAATCCAATAATAATACTAATGCAGGGGCAGGGCACCTCAGGTACATAACATATTAATATCACTGATGACGACTAGTAAAGGACCCTTTTATATGTCTTCAGGGGCATTGGGCATGTAATGCTAGACCTGTTTTTATAGACCAATCGGCACTCGGTGGGTGATTCAGCACTCGGTGGGTGATGCAGCTGCCTTTATTTCCAAGGACTCCTTCTGGAACTCATTCAAGACTGGGTCGACCTGGGAGAAAAGATCATTAAAAAAAAAAGCCCCGGTACTGTCTCGACCTAAACCTTTGATCGTCAGGCCCACAGGCTACCGTCTAGCTGCTACACCATGGCGGCACACCTTCCACAGCATGCTCAGCAGTAGCTAAGATCACGTCCGGCTGTATATTGGTCCTGACAACTGAATAACAGTACATTTTCGAGAAGTCCCTTCGAAAATAGGTTACTGGAAGCGTTTCCATGTTGCATTGTGTGACATTTTAATATGCTTACAAAGTCCTGTGTTCTAAACGTATTCATATTACAAATCTACAAAAGGATATTGTGAAGTGGATATACAGCAATTTCTAGTCAGTAGTTTGGACTTTTGGGAACTGGCTGTTTATTCTTTTTCTACTTTGAATGTAGAAATCAAATTGTGAATAAATTGTGTCAAGATATTTCGGAGCTCTGGGTAATTGCATAAAAACTATATTTTATTTACTAACTAACCTCTCACAGCAAGTCACTCTTTCCCTCTTATGCATATTTGCAGTTGTACGGTCTGTGTTAATTTTTGTAAATTGGCTTTTGATTCGCAGACACTGGCTGTAAACTCTTGCGGAAACTTCTGGTTGTTCATCCACTTCTTATGCATATTTGCAGTTGTACGGTCTGTTTGTACCTTGAGGATGCATATTTAGTAGTGCTATAAGTACTGTTAAAAAAACTACTCTGAGTGAAAAAAGTATTGCACATATCAATTTCATACTGATTGTGCTTGTTTACTAATTATTAAATAACAGTATAATTATATGTTGTAGTAGTGTACTAATAATAATAATAGCCATCAATCATTTATATTTATGTTATGTATGACATGTGTATGTTTCATAGCAGTATTTTTATGTGCTAAATTTGATAAAGTACAGATGTCACCCCTCCCCCCCGGCTCCTCTGATGCAACAATACCCTCTCAGAATCAAAGAGTTAGCACTGATATTTCTTTACTTTTGCTGGAACAACTTTTAGTTTATATCTAAACGTTATTGATATTTACGTTCATGTTGACTAGCAAAAGTATTTTTGTTTGTCTGTAAGAGCCTATATTATTATATTTAAATAGCACACTTACTTACCTTAAAAATGACGTATAGTTCTATAAAATATGTAGAAAATTAATGAAACTATTTAATTTATGTATACATCTCTTCGAAAAAACTGTTAACACAGAGGGACTCAATTCTTGCCCAAGAACGGGAATCCCCGTTGACCCAGTTGGCCTATGTATATCTAGAGTTGGCCGTGCTAAGATCTAGAAGCTGATATTTAAAATCCAATTATTACCTTCAAACGCGACAATCTCCATTGTGTGCGTTTATGAAAAGTATGCAATTATCTTTCTCGAAGAATTGGGATAATAAGTCTTTTTGAAAGCTAACATTCTACATTTCTTATTATGCACCCATTGGCTGGATTGGCTTTTTACCCCACCAGGACATCACACAAGCGATAAACACCCGATGACACAAAGTGCCACCATGCGGATGAGGATCACCGTGGAGAGGTCCCAGAAACCGCGTTCAGACATTTGGCCATAATGATGACCTGCCTATATTGCGGCCCCTGGCAAAAGCCAGAGTGGGGCTTCAAATAACAAAAAATAACGTCCTAAGAAGGACGTAAAGAAGTATTTATCATTATGCACCCATTCATTGTGCTCTCTTTTTATACGCATTCGTGCATTTACACATACAAACACGCCTTCACATCAGGGTTGCCATATTGGCATTTTTTATGCCAGATTCCACACATTTGGCATATTTGAAATTGAACTGGCATAATATAATGAACTGGCATATTTTGGCATATTTGGGTTTTTCCTGGCTTTTCTAATCAAGATGTGCTCACATTTGC